AGTGTGCCCTAGGCAGCTGCCTCATTTGCCTAGTGATAGTGCTGGTCCTGCAAGAAGGGCAGCAAAGAAGACACTTCTCTCCTGGAAAAACATCAGGGACAGACTGATATTCTGCAAAAGGTACAGGGATTGGACTGCTGAGGACTGGGGCAAAGTCATTTTCTCTGATGAATTTCCTTTCTGATTGTTTGGGGCATCCGGAAGAAACCTTAGTCCGGAGAAGAAAACGCTACCATCAGTCCTATGTCATGCCGACAGTAAAGCATCCTCAGATCGTTTATGTGTGGGGTTGCTTCTCAGCCAAGGGAGTGGGCTCACCACAATTTTGCCTAAGAACACAGCCGTGAATAAAGAATGGTACAAAAACATCCTTCAAGAGCAACTTCTCCCAACCATCCAAGAACAGTTTGGTGACTAACAATGCCTTTTCCAGCATGATGGAGCACCTTGCCATAAGGCAAAAGTGATAACTAAGTGGCTTGGGGAACAAAACACCAAGATTTTGGGTCCATGGCCAGGAAACTCCCCAAACATCAATTCCATTGAGAACTTGTGGTCAATCCTCAAAACGCAGGTGAATAAAAAAAAAAACCACATATTCTGACAAACTCCAAACATTGATTATACAAGAATGGGCTGCCATCAGTCAGGATGTGGCCCAGAAGTTGATTGACAGCATGTCAGGGTGAATTGTAGAGGTCTTGAAAAAGAAGGATCAACACTGCAAATACTGACTCATTACATAAACTTAATGTAATTGTCAATAAAAGCCTTTTTACACTTATGAAATGCTTGTAAGTATACCATAGTAACATCTGACAAAAAGATCTAAAAACACTGAAGCAGCAGACTTTGTGAAAATTAATATTTGTGTCATTCTCAAAACTTTTGGCCAGGACTGTAGCTTATAACACTTTTACTATCCACATACTATCGTCAGATCCTAACACAACCATAGATCTGTGCCACTAAGGGCTCATTCTGACATGTGATATCCCTTGTGACCCTCTATGGTCCTGTTCACATTAGATGATTTGAAATAGTGGTCAGAATCGCTGTGATTCTGCTTGCAATTTCATTATTAATGGCACCCCAAACACAGTGTGAGTCTGCCGCGAGTGTCGTGTGTCAAAATCACATGGCAAAATGCGCAATTAAAAATCACGCTAAGCTTGTTGCCCAAATAGGAGCAGGAGCTTCTTTTGGGTGACAAACGTGCATAGGGCAGCCCATTGAAGTGAATGGACTGCCATATGCGTGACATGCAGAAGGGCTCATTTTCGCAATGCGATGTCTAAATGGGGCCTAAGGGCTCATTCAGACAGGTACTGGGATCCATCCTCCAAATTGAGACTCTGTCTACTGCATATACTGTGTATTCACCATGTTTCAACTGCATGCATTACACATGGTTGCAGGGTGATTGCTGTGCAGCCCCATTCACGTGAATGGGTTGCAGTCAGCATTGGTATGGTCTGCTGAATACAATGGGAGTTCATGACAGTTCTTTACTTTTGATCACATGTTTGGTCACAGCAATCACAAGGTACCTGGACCATTCACAGTGGCACAGAGCACTATGATTCAGTGTCAAAGATCGAGCTGCTGCATGCCCCAGGGGGTCCAGGGCTGTCTTCCCAGAATTGGAGAGCACCTGCCCTACATTATATGCTGAACGAGAAGTGGTTCAAATGTGCTGCGGCCGAGCGTCTGCATGGCTCAACTGTCTGCTGTCACAATCCCCTGGCTGCATGTCTAAGACCCCTTTCACACAGGGCGGACTCCGCTGGTGATCTGGTTGCTCATCGGGGGATCTGTCTGCTGATCCCCCACTGAGCAGGCGGATGACAGGTCTGTGTCCGCTCTGTTTATGCAGAGCGGACACAAACAGAGCCCAGTCTCCTCTATGGGCAGTCAGATGTAAACAGACCTGCCTACTGTATTTACACCTGACTGTCCTCCGATCTGATCTGGCCAGGCAGAGAGGAACGGATCCCCTTCCGTTTGTTTTTGCTGGATCGAATCACTCGGTCCGTTTATATCTCACTGCCCATTGAATGGAGGGTCTGTCAGGTCCTCCTGAAAAACGGACTGCCAATGTGAACAGGGCCTAACTGAGCCCTAACAGAAAAAAGAGAATTCTACTTAAAGCGGAGTTCCACCCAAAAGGGGAAGTTCTGCTTTAAAGATTGGTCCCCCGCTCCCAATTAAGGATTGGCACCTTTGGGGAGTGGGGGGGAACTGGTACCCGAATTTGACAGGTACCCGCTCCCACTTCCACTGCGATCGCCTAGGCGATCGGAAGCGGAAGTTGTCCTCCTACCATCCCTCCCTGAAGTCTTGTGGGACACGTGACAGGTCCCAGAAGACTACAGGACCATTCATGAAGCGCAGCGCTACTCGTGCATGTGCAGTGGGCACCCGGCTGGGAAGCAGCAAGCTGTCACAGCCGGGTGCCTACAGTGAAGATGCCGGCGCCTGGAATACAGGACAGCTGGTGAAACGGGATCATGAGACAGGTGAGTGGCTGTTTTTTAAAAGTCAGCAGCTACAGTTTTTGTAGCTGCTGACTTTTATTTTTTTACAGAATGAGTGGAACTCCGCTTTAATTAAAAATCTACTGAAAGGTGGGGTTTTTATACCAGAAGGTCTTTTTTGTCATAATTGCCCCCGCCCACCCACACTCTGTGTGCTGAAAAGGTGTGACTCCCATGCACCTGCCAATAAAGCGGGCGAAGATTCGAAAAACGGAAGTAGGACCAGGTTAAGATGGAAGTGCCGGGATTCTTTGAGAGCCATGACAGCCCAGCGTTTGAGGTCTCTGTAGGTAAGTCTCTCATAATGTACTAGTATGCAGTGCATACTAGTACATTATGGCTTAAGCCTGCAAGGGGCACATTATTTTAGTTTCTGATGGGGACTTCACTACCGCTTTATTAAACGTCTTTAACCTCCCTGGCGGTATGATTCTTTCCGATTTTTTGTGCTGAAAGCGGTACCATTTTTTTGCATGGAAATATGTAGTTTTTTATTGTAGGCTGTAATATTTAGGAATAACTCACTGAAATCCGTCCGAACAAGAGTCTAGTAAACATTCCGGGTATGATAAAACTTGAAACACGAAATCATAAATTATAATTTAATAAATAATCATAAAAAATAATAATATAATAATAATAAATTTAATTCAATAATATAATCAAACCAAAAACACTGAAATTTGAAATACAGAGGCAAATTCGCACATCGCTGAGCAAAGGCGCAAAATCGTTTTCAGTGTCTGATGACAAATTTCCCCACGAATCATTATCACTCAATTCTGCAAGTGGTTCTGATTTACTATCGCTGTTCTAAAACTGCTTTTGACATAAAGGGACGCTTTTTGGACGCCATGGACTTTTCTAAGTTTCCAGGCAGAAAGAACATTCAAAATGCAGGCAGGGCACAGGACAAAGCAGTAGGGACAAAATGTATGTGAAATGCATTGAAACAGCAATGACAGCAAAAATGACATTTTTTAAAAATTTCAAATTTCCTGCCGGTTCTGGCGCCCGTACGTCCCGACGTCACAGGGACCGGAACACAGAAGCCGGATGCCGGCATCGGCCGGAGGAGATGGCCGGGGGGGACTCTGCAGGGGACACATCGCGGGAGCGAAGGACAAGGTAAGCGCTGCAGGGAATCCCTGAACAACGCCGCATGGTAAGCCCGAGTGTAGCTCGGGGTTACCGCTTTTGGTATAGAAATTTTACCCCGAGCTACACTCGGGAATACCGCTGGGAGGTTAAGCCTGGGTTCACACTAATGCGGTGCGGCACATCACGTGATTCACACTGGAACCACACCGCATTCCTGTGCAAATCACATGTGATGTCTGTGCAGTGCGACTGGAGCCATACATTGTGTATGGCTCAAATTGCATTGCATCCGCACCAGAAAGGTGCAGGACCCTTTTTTTTTTTTTTCCCCACCAGATTCACATTGCATGGTTGTTCACACCCACATGATGCAAATTCTGGTAATCGCACTGCGTTTTGCGATGTTTCAGGGTATCGTTGATTTAACATTGAGCCTAGGTTCACACTGATGCTGTGCGAAATTTGCACCGTTTTCCGCACCGTATCATAATTGCACCCCATTCACACGAACCATTGCAGGTGTGTATTTTAGGTTAACGACACCCCGAAATCAGTTCGCAAAACGGGGTGCGATGTGCAGAATCGGATTGCATAGGTATGAACACCCATGCGATCCGATTCTAGTGCGGACCAAAAAAAGGGTCCTGCACCTTTTTGGTTGCGATTGGAGCCATACAAAATGTTTAGTTGAAATGGCACCGCACAGAATTCGCATGCGATTTGCACAGGAATGTGGTGCAGTTCCTACGCGAATCACATGCGGTATGTCGCACCGCACAAGTGTAAACCCAGGCTGACACCTGTACAAGATCGCATGGACGCCATACAATTGCAATGCAGTACTGGAAGCGCACAGGATTCGCTGTGTTTCTGACACTACATTACTGTGAACTGGGGCTAAACCGTTTTGCGACACCTCTATAAAAATTACACATCTGAGAACCTAAAAAAAAAATGTCATTCCGAGCCAGCCAGGAGTCGAACCTAGAATCTTCTGATCCGTAGTCAGACGCGTTATCCATTGCGCCACTGGCCCACTGACGAACACAGTTCTCCAAGCATATCTAATAAGGAAGACCTCCTTTGACTCCGATTGGTGCGTTTGCATGTTGCTATGGTTGTTTTAAAGGCGTGGTCCAACACCCAATAAAGACCAGTTTCTAAAAACGTTAACGCCCCTCACTGACTCTTCTCTCTAATTGGTTGGCGCCACTAGCCTCATGCCACCGTCGACCACCTGCAAGGCCTGATGACGTGTTTGGATTTTTCCTCTTGACGCCCATTTTCGCTTCTCATTGGCCGGCGTTGACAGTTGTCATGAGGAAGGGGGAGTGACCTGTGTAGCGCGCGTGGAGTGAGTCTATGGTCAAGATGGCGGCAGCTGGCAGTGGGGGAGGCCGGGTGTCCAGCGGACGGGATCTCAACTGTGTCCCCGAGGTGCCAGACACGTTGGGTGCTGTAGCCAAACAAGGGTGAGGTTGTGTAGTCCGCTGTATTGGCCGCCCTGTCTGCTGAGTAAGAGGGGAGGAGAGACAACGTGGATAGGAGACATGTGCGGTGCAGGTGTGAGCCGTTCTCCTCATAGACCGGAGCTGCAGCTCTGTGTACCTGACCCTCAGCAATGAGAGCTCTGTAGAGGACCGTCACATTGGGGGGACCGTTATAGGGCAGCCATGACATCAGAAGGCTCGGGGATGGAGAACACGTGTTCTGTATGAGGAGACCCATCACCTACTAACAGATCCTTCTATTGTGTACCTGCCGGTCACATGACTGGTACCCCCTAGACATGGGCTCACTATAAACTTTACTAACCTAGGCCCGGTTTACTGTCCTTCAGACTTTAGGGGGTCGGATGGTGGCCAGTGAGGGTCCAATATGCCCCAGGCCTGGTGTCAGTGAGAGTGATCATTGCCTGAAGGCCACTTCACACCACAACGTGCTCCAGGAAAAGCAAATGTATTAAAGACACCCAAACCTTGGATCCAAAATGCAATGTTTGTGGTCACCGAGTCACATGGTATCGCAGTATCATGCAATTTGATGCGGTGTGCTTTTTAAAGCGTAGTCCATGCACTAGCATTTCTTCTTTCCAAGTGCGATCTGTAGCCTATTCAAATAAATGGGTTACAGCAGGGGTCTCCAAACTTTCTAAACAAAGGGCCGGTTTACTGCCCTTCAAACTTTAGGGGGGCCGGACTGTGACCAGTGGGAGAAGAAAATGTCCTAGTGGGAGTGAACAATGCCCCGCCGTCGGTGCCAGGGGGAGGATTAGTGCCCCGCTGTCGGTGCCAGGGGGAGGAATAGTGCCCCGCCGTCGGTGCCAGGGGAGGAATAGTGCCCCGCCGTCGGTGCCAGGGGGAGGAATAGTGCCCTGCGTCGGTCGGTGCCCTGCCCGGTGCCAGGGGGCCAACTATTAGAGTGATTTCCAGCTTCCCCAGCAGACATTAGCTATAAGAAATACATATGTAGATTTTGCCAAGCTGGAGCAAAGTAAAGCTGGTCATAGATTTTTATTACAGGTACTTCTATAGCGCCGTCAAATTACATAGCACTTTATTTATTACACATTCACACCAATCCATAACCTTCAAGGAGCTTACAATCTAAGGTCCCCAACTTGCATCCATACACATACAGGAGCCTATTAACCTACCAGCATGTCTTTGGCGTGTGGGAGGAAAGCAAAGGAAATCCACGCAGGCACAGGGAGAATGTGGATCAAAATTTGACTGGCTGAATTTCAATCCATCTATTCCATTTTGAGAGCAGTTGAGATGAGGACTGACTGTTCTCGAGTTGGCTTGTTGGAAACTTTTCGCTCAATCAGTGCTGCAGTCAATCAGCTGCAGTGCTGATTGGTATATTCTAATGGTGGAAGAGTCCTGCAGTCAGAATGCAACAGTACAGCAGGAAGGATTCCCTCGTCCACCTCAAATGTGTGGATGGAGGAATCGGGTCAATTTTTTTTTTATCAGTTGGCTAATAACAAAAAAAAAATCTCTTTAAAGTATTACTAAACCCAGGACCCTGCATTCACTATATCAATCTCCCACAGTACAAAACATGAAAGTGTAATTATTTTAGTAAATATAAACTGCTAAATACTCTTTCTCATCAGCAGTTAGAGCAGTCTTGTGACTTCTATCAGTGTCCAGCAGAGCACTGGTTAAAGCTTGTAGGGGGAGTTTTCCTTCTCTCCTATGATACTGCAGGACCCCTAACCCTCTCTTTGGACAGTGCTGGTTGGTCCTTTACTGATTACATGCACTCTTCCAAGGTAAAAAAAGAAGAAAAAAACACTAGCAATACAGACCAGGCTGAACATGTGCAGTGACTCCAAGCCTCTGCTCTATCAGGAATATATTGGGGACAGTGGAAGAAGGGGAGGAATAGAGAAGATTAGATTAAACACCATTTTTACACAATGTGGGGTTTTAACCCCTTAGGTTCCACAGTGAGTTTAATCACCCTCCAGAGGATTTACCTCCCTGACCAGGCCATTTTTTGCAGCCCACATGATTTGTTTTCCTTCCCTTCCACAGTGCTCTTGTGCTCTGGGGGGGGGGGGGGAGGCATGGGAGGCCTTCCTGACCAGCAGAACACAATGATTACTACCACCATCAATTTGGTGGATTGACTTGGATACAATCAGCCCCTGCCCGTACAGGGATCGAATCTCTGCTGAACCAGCCAAATTTCGATCCATGTTTTGCCAGCTTTAAGGCTTCATGTACACCGTTTAGGTCCACAAAGTAACAGATTTAACCACTTGCCTACTGGGAACTTGTACCCCCTTCCTTACCAGGCCAATTTTCAGCTTTCAGCGCTGTCGCACTTTCACACTTTGAATGACAATTGTGCTGTCATGCAACATTGTATTCATATGAAATCTTTATAATTTTATTCTCTCAAATAGAGCTTTCTTTTGGTGGTATTTACTTGCCGCTGGGTGTTATTTTTTGCACTATAAACAAAAAAAGAGCAAAAAATTTGTTTCTACAATGTAATTTTTCTCCACTGATGTGCGTTGATGAGGCTGCACTGATAGGCAGCATGGATAGGCGGCACTGATGATGGGTACCGATAGTCAGCACTGCTGGGCAGCACAGGTGGGCAGCAATGCTGGGCACTTGTGGGCAAAACTGGTGGGTGGCACTGTTGGGGCACCGATCATCAGGGCACTGATCATCAGTGCCGATCCCTGCTCTTGACAACTGCTGGTTCTCAGCAGTACTTTCCTCACGTGCTGACGGCGTGAGGAAAGTGCAGCCAAGAACCGGCAATTGCATTTCCTAGTAATCTGCGTGTCGGCTGATCACGTGGTAAAAGGTTGCTGTGATTGGCCTTTTTACCACATCACGTGATCAGCTGTGTCTGTAGGACAAAGCAATCACGGAGATCGCCGGGTGCATGCCCCCGGGGGCGCGCAGGTGAGCGCATTCTGGGAGGCCGTCATGTGACGCCCTCCCAGAACTGGACGGCCGCAGTGTAGCAGTCATTCGGCTACCTGCGGTCGGCAACTAGTTACACATCCTATGGATTTCTATGTACATTTGTACACTAGACATTTTAAATGTGCTTTCCAAATCAAGAGAAATTTGCTTTCCTGTATTTTTATTAGTTTTGTGGAATTGAACAGGTGTAAATGCATCTAAATCTGCTATAAAGTAGGAACAACTAAACTAAAAATGATCTAAGATGCAAAAACTATTGGAGTGCCAGTGTGAATGAGTCCTCAAGTGGCCGCTTCAATACTTAGACTTGGTCCGCTGATGTCATCAGGAAAATGTGATGGAATAGTGCCCCTCATTGGCTATAGTGCCCCATGCTGGGAGGAATAGTGCATTAAATCAGTAAAGTACCAGTGGGAGGTATTTGGCCGCCCCATCGTTGGTATCAAGACGACCCCCCATTGGTATCAGTGGGGGGAATTTGCCCCATCGTTGGTATCTGGTGGAATAAAAGTGGGGGGGAATAGTGCCCCATCATTGGTTTCAGTGGGAGGAATATACTCGCCCCATCGTTGGTATCAGTGGTATAATCGTTGGTGTCAGTGGGGGGTGGAATACCCCATCTTCCAATGCCCCACGTTGGTGTCAGTGGGAGGAATAGTGCCCCATCATTGGTATCAGTGGCAGGAATAGTGCCCCATCATTTGTATCAGTGGGCAGGAATAGTGCCCCATCCATCATTGGTATCAGTGGCAGGAATAATAGTGTGCCCCATCGTTGGTATCAGTGGGCAGTGAAATAGTGCCCCATCGTTGTGGTGTCAGTGGGGGGGGGGAATAGTGCCCCATCGTTGGTATCAGTGGGGGGGGGGGGGGGAATAGTGCCCCATCGTTGGTGTCAGTGGGGGGGGGGGGGAATAGTGCCCCATCGTTGGAATGTGCCCCCGTTGGTGTCATCGTTGGGTCAGGGGGGGAATAGTGCCCCATCGTTGGTATCGTTGGTGTCAGGGGGTGGAATAGTGCCCCATCGTTGGTGTCAGTGGGGGGGTGGAATACATCCAAGTGCCCCATCGTTGGGCACTATTGCCCCTCCCACTGACACTTGCTGAGTGCCCCCTGTTCTCGTGCCCCATGGTGCTGCTGCAGCCAACATATGTGGTTTGCAGCAGCACCTCTACACTGATACACTTACCTGCTGGTGGTGTCTGCACTCGATTTTCGCGGGGTGCCCCATCGTTGGTGTCAGTGGGGGGGGGGGCTCCGCCCCCTCGCCGGTGATTGGCCGCCTGTGTGCCTTTCCTGAGCTACAGTTCTGGCGGCCAATCACCGGTGAGGACGCGGAGCCCCCGAGCAGCCGCGCCAACATCCAGTGGCCGAACTGAAGGAGCATTCCTCCCCGCGCTTCCTGGACCGGATCGTCGTGGGACCGGAGCCAGGTAAGAAACAGCCCCTGCCCATCCCTGTACTTAGTGCCTCTTCCGTTGGAAGGGGGGGGGGGCGGTGGGCTGAAGGCGGCGCGCACCGTGCCGCCCAGGTAAAAAAGTGTCAGTATGCCGTATAATACCGGCGTATAAGACGACGTATAAGACGACCCCCAACTTTTGAGAAGATTTTCAAGGGGTAAAAAGTCGTCTTATACGCCGGCAAATACGGTACTATAATTTTGATGGGGCTCTTTCTAAAGCTAGTTATACTCAGATTTCATCTGTTCAGCCTGTTGATTGAACTAATAAAACTAAGATTCCTCCATTTGCGCTACACAGCACATATGGGCCAATTTCCCACTGCAGCTATTGGAATGACCCTTAACTATGTATTGGCACCCTCAGTAGATTGCTAAGGCAGTGCCTTTTGAATGAGGTGCTGGAAATGCCTTTCCCGCACCACGTGGTGTGAAGCAGCACTCTTAAAAGTATGGACCTCAAAGATGACAGTTGTGCTGCATGCACAGGTATAAGCAAATACAATCACTATTTGAGAATTATAACTGTTAACAATATTTTTTTTATTTAAAAAAGTAAAGCTAAGCCAAAGTTTAAGGAAAAGGTTTAACACATACCCTTCTCTTCATCTGCACCACCAAATTCTGCTGTCTTTCAGAGAAAATTCTATTGGATCTTCAAAATTCAGCATACTTCTGGGTTTGTTGGATGTCTGGCTCCCCCTGTACTCTCCTTCCTACTGCTGTTCTCTATGTCCCTACTGTGTCCTATAGTAATGTGTATGTCAGCAGACAAAACTTGCAAATGACACGCAAAACCTATATAACTATTCCAAGTACAAACTTTACTAAAAGAAAAAATCATCCAGTACCATTCGTTTCCTTTAAGGGCTAAACTGTTAGAGTAATTCTAATCTTGTTTTGCTGAGTGATTTAATCCTTGCGGATAATCGCCTCATTTGCACTACTTTCTGATACTGAAAACTGAAGAACATATGCTGTTGATAAAAATGTAAATGTTAAACTGGGTTAGATGCTAGCTGAAATGGTTTAGACACTCTGGTTACCTGTCCACTGGGACCTAAAAAAACCTTTTTCAGTTATGCAATATGCAGCTAAAAACTACAATACTGAGGTCTCCTTCATTTTCCCTAAGAGGTATAGAAGCTGATGCATCTTGCCAGTATCTACTCACAAATGAAATCTTGTGAAAAGGATGAAATACCTTGGGGATATTTTTTTTGTTTTTAATTCTTGACTGCAAAGAACCTAAAGCTAAAACCGGCTCCATTAACTTTTTTTCCCCTGTACTTTTCTGCAGGTTTGATTTTTTGTGTATGCCCATCTTCCATCCACGTTTTAAAAGAGAATTTTACAGAGAACCTGCCAAGTCTCGATGTGGGCCCCAGACTCGCTCAGACCTCCTACTTTCTGGACGAGGTATGGATGCTTTGGGGGGGATTACAGTTCCTCTATTGCTAGGAGAAATCGTTCTCCTTATAGACATATTGTAGCCTTTTGTCAACCTTCTCAACACAGAGGAACTCTAAATAACTTTCCTTTCTCAGGGAACTCCTGCTAAAAGTTACTATATCTACAACTCAGTTAGTGTGATGGTCAGTGGGAAGAATGCTCTTCACACTTGTGGACATTTGGAAGAATTACCCTTTTACAGAGAGCTAAAAAGATTAATGGGAACTTATCTAAGATGCAGAAATTGCTCAATGTTCAAGGAACCCCTAGTGACCTTTGGAGGAACCCTAGGCTTCCGTGGGATCCGGGTTGAGAAACTTTGACAGACTGTGGGATGATCAAATGCCAGTGCAATAGAAATTGTCCACGAAATTTAATTTATAATGACACTAAAGTGTTTTAATTGGTAGAAGGTAGGCTTTTATGCCAGAAGTCAGTTTCCTCTGCAATAAAAGCTATTTTCTACTTGTTAGCAGTTTTCTTCAAATTGTACACAGAGCTGCACATTCTCTGCATGCTTGGTTACTGGGATGAAGTGACTGCTGTTCTCATGCTTGATTGAGACATCCTAGGCTGGCCAATCAAGATAGATGAAGGTGCTGAACCAGGAAGAAGGTTGGCTAAAGATGTTGGGGACTGGACGATGGACAGTGTGGGTGTTGCATCGCTGGAGACAGTACTTCGGGAAGCCATTATGTCCTAATTTGCAAATTGTGTGTCTTAATATTCTAGTCTCGCAGCAATCTGCAAGATCATGTGACAGTTGTCTTTTGTCTGTATACCCTGTGTTCACAAGTTAATAATCACTGCAAGAGATTATAATCTTTCATCTGTAGCATGTATATAGATAGTCATTTATCCAGGGCTTAAAATTTCAAGTCCCGAGCTACTAGCCAGGCCTTAAGAGTTACTCGCGACCAGCACACACACGTACCACACACACACACACGTACACACACACACACGTACACACACACACACACGTACACACACACACACGTACACACACACACACGTACACACACACACACGTACACACGTACGCACACGTACGCACACGTACACACACGCACACGTACACACACGTACACGTACACACACGTACACGTACACACACGTACACGTACACACACGTACACGTACACACACACGTACGCACACGTACACACACGCACACGTACACACACGTACACGTACACACACGTACACGTACACACACGTACACGTACACACACGTACACGTACACACACACACACACACGTACACACACACACACACACGTACGTACACACACACACACACGTACGTACACACACACACACACACACGTACGTACACACACACACACACACACGTACGTACACACACACACACGTACGTACACACACACACACGTACGTACACACACACACACGTACGTACACACACACACACGTACGTACACACACACACACACACGTACGTACACACACACGTACGTACACACACGTACGTACACACACACACGTACGTACACACACACACACACGTACGTACACACACACACACGTACGTACACACACACACACGTACGTACACACACACGTACGTACACACACACGTACGTACACACACACGTACGTACACACACACGTACGTACACACACACGTACGTACACACACACGTACGTACACACACACGTACGTACACACACACGTACGTACACACACACACACACACGTACACACACACACACGTACACACACACACACACGTACGTACACACACACACACACACACACACACACACACACACACACGTACACACACACACACACACACACACACACACACGTACACACACACACACACACGTACACACACGTACAGATGCATATACACAAACATGCGCGTGCACACACGTAAATACATACACACACACACACATGCAGACACACACATGTACATACATGCAGACACACACATGTACATACATGCAGACACACACATGTACATACATGCAGACACACACATGTACATACATGCAGACACACCCCCACACCCATAAAAAGTTGCATTACTTCGTTGTTCACTCACAGAGCTGGGTACTGCACTCTAGGCGGAGGCAGAGAGCACAGCACACACTCCTTCCTTTGCTTTCACTGCACTCAGCTATTGAGCAGTCTGACTGCTCCCAGTGCCAATGACAGATCCGGCCTGAGCTCCGAGCCTGCTCAGCAAGATGGCCCTGGGGGACACACTCGCCCCCACCATAATTTCCACTCGCCATTGGTGAGCAGGCGAGTGGAAATTTCTTTTCAAACCCTGGTTTAGGCTACAAGAAGAAAAAATATTGCTTTTTATAAATATATTTCCAGACACTGGTAAAGAGGTGGGAAAACAATACAGTAACATTGCTAATGTGATGTACAGTATACTAACATTCAGTATTGTCTATGCTGCCCTGCTGTTACTATAAATACAAGTGAAAAAATGCATAACTTTTTCTCCTCAGATTGGAATACGCTTATTGTAGGAAAGCTGTCTGAATGGATAAAGGTGGACTCAGAGGTTCCAGAAATCCGCAAAACTTCCGAAGCTGTAAGTATAAGAAAGTTATGGGGGTTCTGTTTACTCATATACCTTGAACATAATACAACTGGTAACAAACTTGGGACCTCATGCACACATGTAAACACAGTTTCTCCTGACAGGAGAAAATCTATGTTAAAAACTCATCTAAATGTGTTCTTTGAAGGAAAAAAAAAAAAAAAACGTTTAGGTGAGTTTGGTGTTTGAGCGTTTATTTCATAGGCTAGAATTTAAATTTATCCTGACCATTGAAATTAATAAACTCTGAAGTGCTAAACGCGCCTAGCATTTGGCTTTTTTTTTAATGCCCAAAAGCTCCTCTCCTGATCTCAATTCTTTGTTTATGCAAATTAACTTTTACTTCCTCTAAAAGCCTATGTGTGCATGGACACATGCATTTGAGGTTCGTTCAGGGGCTTAGTAAAAAAAAAAAAACCCGCCAAAAGCCCCAATTATGTCAGTTTAGAAGCAGCAGTGTGCATGAGGTCTTAAAGTATCAGGGAAGGGACCGACCATGATGCTTAATGGGGTTATCTGAAACAGGTACACCTGTGTATTGGTCATTTTAGGATTGGCTTCTTATTCCCTATAGGACTGGCCATTGTAATGAAATGGCCTTTTGGAATATTTGTGTTGCGAGTTGAGTTTGTGAGAGTGGCGCTCTGTACTTTGTGATCTCTTTGACCAGTTAAGTGTAAACACTGCCAGTGATTTTTCTAGCTTTTTATTTGTCTTTCACACAGCACTACAGTCAGGGTCACTGTGCAAATATCGCAGAGCTCCTTGCCTGGTTACAGCCAGAGCTTCAGTTGTTGCTAATTGCAACCAGTGTTTGCCTTTTCACCTTGGGGCGTCTGCTTTAAAAATTTTATTTTGTGTTTCAATTGTCCTGGCACTTCAGACACCACACGTGTAGTATCCCCATTCTCGGAAGGAGTAGCAGAATGTGCTGTGGTGTAATTGTAAGTATGCATATACTGTGTGTGAGAAATCTTAGACAATGAATTCCATTTTCTGTAAAATTGTGGCAAAAAAATTAATCTTTTAAAATACTCACCTTGCTTCTTACCAAACGCCTTCAGGTGTCTATTTTCCAAGCATGTGTGCTTTTTGGGGGGTGTTTTGTATCCAGTGGTGATTAAACACCACCAAAAGAAAGCTCTGTCTCAAGATAGAAAAATTTTGGGTTCAGTGTTGCATGGCTAGTTTTTAGTCAAGCTTTTACTGCACTGAAAACTTAAAGCGGTATTAAACCAAAAAGGTAATCTGTTGCAGCTTACCAATCCATTAGATGTGGTGGCTGCATTCGTGTTTTTTTTTTTTTCTTTTTTTTTTTTTTTTTTTTTCCCTCTGTTTTCACCTGGTGATTTGAACAGTAACACAACTGTATTAAAGTGACTCCACTCTGGATGAAGGAGCACAGGGTGTACCTTTTGGACAGCAGCATTGTCCGTCTAGGGCGGGTGTCGGCAACCCGCGGCTCCAGAGCCGCATGCGGCTCTTTTTCATCTTTGCTGCGGCTCCGGAGCACACTGCCCACCAGGTGACAGGCAAAGGGTTTCAGTGGTCGGCAAGCCGCGGATCGCAAGCCACATGCGGCTCTTCTGTGTGCCGGGCGCCCGCTCCCCTCCCTCCTATCGGGCGGCCGCCTCAAAAGTCAGGACTCTTTTAATCCGGCCCGCGGAGCGTGGAACATTAGCTGTCAGGATGTAGGCGGGGCAGCCAGGATGTAGGTGGGGCAGCGTGACGAACTCCTCTCACAGTCCGCCCTGAAGACCGGAACACAGCGCGGGAACACAGCGAGAGGAACGCGCGGAGCAAAGGTAAGTGAATTGAGACAATATGGGGAATTAATTACTATAGGGGGGATGAATTACTATGGGGGATGAATTATTATATGGAGGATTAATTACTATGGTGGATGAATTACTATGGTGGATGAATTACTATGGAGGATGAATTACTATATGGGGGATGAATTACTATGGAGGATGAATTACTATATGGGGGATGAATTACTATATGGGGGATGAATTACTATATGGGGGATGAATTACTATGGAGGATGAATTACTATATGGGGGATGAATTACTATATGGGGGATGAATTACTATATGGGGGATGAATTACTATATGGGGGATGAATTACTATATGGGGGATGAATTACTATGGAGGATGAATTACTATAGGGGGGATGAATTACTATGGGGGATGAATTACTATATGGGGGATGTATTACTATGGGGGATGTATTACTATATGGGGGATGAATTACTATGGGGGATGAAGTACTATATGGGGGATGAAGTACTATATGGGGGATGAAGTACTATAGGGGGGATGAAGTACTATATGGGGGATGAATTACTATATGGGGGGATGAATTACTATATGGGGGGATGAATTACTATAGGGGGGATGAATTACTATAGGGGGGATGAATTACTATAGGGGATGAAGCTAACTGCACGATCCTGTATATAGCATTAAGGTAAGAAACAATATATGCAGTGTCGGATTTGTTTTAAATGTTGCAATGGTTTTGCGGCTCCCAGTCTTTTTTTTTCCCTTCGGAAACGGGTCCAAGTGGCTCTTTATGTCTTAAAAGTTGCAGACCCCTGGTCTAGGGGAAGGGAACTATTTAGATGTACTAGCATATTTAAATACACTAACAAATTAAAGCTGAACTTCAACCTTTGCTTTGTATACAGCGGCAGTTTTTTGTTTTCTCATTTTGGGATAACGGTTTTACATTAAAAGCTGACCATTGTAAGCACCCCTGCCAGTGTTAAATGGATTGTCTCATTTCTGTAACAGATACATCTGCAAAACAGCTTGTTCTTTTGGACAACAGTTTACTGGCTGGGTCATAAGATAATATAGAAGAGGGCCTATAAAAGAAAACTAATGCAGCCATCACATCCTAGAATTGGAAAGCTGCAAAAAAAGTTTGCTTTTTGGGTTTTACTGATTTAAAAATGGCCTGAACCGTAATGGTGTGTAGCATGTATAAAGGCGGTTAAAGTATACATATACGCAGAAATATTTGGGTGGGTTTAAGAGAGTAGGTAAGAGCTTGGCCCCTGTCACGTTTTAATATTTCCCTGCTAAAGAGTCACCACCTCTTTGTCCTGTGTTGTTGTCACTGTTACAATGATAGGGTAACTATTCCAATGGGGACATGTGTTTCTCTGACAACTCTTCTAAGAGAGTAGTTTTTTCTTTGCTTTGTATGAGATTTCATCTTGCTTCCTGGTGTGTCCAGGGAACAGGAAGTGAAGGGAAATATCCTTAACTGTATAGACAGCAAAAAGACTGAAGCATTATAACCCTTCCCTACTCTGAATCATCCCTAGCAGCAAACCCATCTTGCCATGGATTAGTACTTGGTGGACCTGGTCCTTGGTTTTATTTTTTGTGCCTCTTTAGTGGGATAAAAGCTCTGTCAGAAATAATTTTCAACATAACACTTGTAGAGGTGATCATTGATTTTAGAGAAATATGTTTTGTTTGCCATTTAATAAGAAAAGAACTGTGGTCATATAACCTATTTTGTTTCATACAAAACCACCAATAAAAAAATATATCTGTATATAATATGTGACCTTCTTTGTCTGGTCTAAAACCCCAAATCATTCGTCAAGAAGAAACAAAATGATGTGAAACACTAAATTATAGCAAACATGTGGTGGGTGTGTCCATTCCTTGACAAAAAAAAAGTATACTGCTTATTTGTTACAGGCTTTGCTACAGGAGCTAAATTTTTCAGCATACCTGGGACTTCCTGCATTTCTTATACCTCTTGCGTGTGAGGATAACAGCAACTTGGCTCGACTCCTAACAAATCACATTCACACTGGTCATCATTCCACAATGGTAAGAATATGCTGTCCCTTTTTATATAGTGCTTGCTCTCTTTTACACTTGCTAAGACCATCATTGTCTGCTTACTAGTTCTGGATGAGAGTTCCATTAATGACTCCAGATGATCTGCGAGAAGACCTCATAGACAATGAACCATTACCTCAGTCTGAAGGGGAGGATAATAGTGGGGAAGAACGGACTTGGCTTTGGTAAGCTGGCATAAATAGCAATGTATGGCACATTCCAGGTGATTGGTGCTTCTAAACTTAACATATCTCCTAGGTGGCATCATTTCCGGACCCTATGTGATTACAACAAAAGAACTGCTTTAGGTGAGATATCAAAGTACATTTAGTTATAAACCCTGTCACAAGAAAATTTTATGCATCTTTGTATTGTCTATAAAAGTAACCTGTAAGGTTAGAAATATGATCTTGATGACTTGTATTAGAAGGCAGAAGTTCTGAGGTGATCATCTTTGCTTTGCTATTTACGAAGACATTAAGTTGGAACAAGCATGCAGGTCAGGAATTTCTACTTTACCTACTACTAGCTTGTAGTGGGATAGCGAATTGCCAAGCTTTGAATTAAAGTAGGACTATATGCAAAATGAGATTAAAAAAAAGTTTTGGACTAGAGTATCCCATTAAAGTTCATCAGTCACTAAAAGCCCATTTGTGCCATAAACCATGTATCCCAAGTGAATTATCCAAACTTCCACAATAAGTGATTCTTCTGGTGTGCTAGACGCAAACCACCTCCTCGAACATATATCCTTCGTGCAATTGCCACCGGTGGTAAATTAGGCTGTTCGCCTTCAATTCAGACCTCAAAATGTAAAAGGTCAAAAGCACTTGTATACCCTTTAAATAAAAAAGAAAGGAAACCAATGCAGCCTTTACAGCGATTCCTCAGAGCCATCCAATATTCAGACTTGAATATGAGCCAAGTGCAGCACATATAAAACAGAAGAACTGACACCATGTCTACAGCTACAGGTTACCATCTTCCAAGGTTCTCCTTTTTCCAACAGGGAGCCCAGGACTGAAGCAGGCATACCATAGAGATGATCATGTACCAGAACGTCCCCGTCATCTCTATGGTATAAGAAACCGGATGTGCAAGTTTTTTTTTTTTTTTGGTCACTTCTGGTTTCTGTAAGATGTAATCAAGCAATTATCTGGCATGAGAAAGCATCTGATCAAACGGACTTTTTTTTTTTTTTTTTTTTTTTTTTTTTTTAATCAGATGCTTTGCAGAAGAGATCTGGGGTCTTATAGACACAGTGTAAAAATAATACATTTTAAAAACAAACTTGCTCGTATGCAAAGGTGAACATATCCATGGGTTGTGCACACATTTTGAGGTATAGCTGCAAATGAGAGTGAGGGCAATACTTTTAGCATGAGACCCTCTGTGTAGTAAACTGGTAACCTGTAAAGGCCTTTAACCACTAGCCTATGGGGTACTTATACCCCCTTCCTGCCCAGGCCAATTTCCAGCTTTCAGCGCTGTTGCACTTTGAATAACAATTGCGCGGTCATGCAACACTTTACCCATATGAAATTTGTATCTTTTTTTTTTTTTTTTGTGACAGCTTTATTTTGGTGGTATTTAATCACCTCTGGGTGACATCTTCAGCTCTTTCTGTTGATCGGTGATCCGCTGTGTCCGAGGGAAACAGCGCACCACAGATCGCTGCACTCCCGGAGCCGCGCATGCGCGGTTAGAATGGGAGGACGTCCAGACCTTCCAGAACGAGAGAACCGCCTTGTGCCCGTCATTGTACTATATGGCGGGCGGGAGGCAGTTAAAGCATCGCCTATGGAGATTAAGTACCATAGTTTTGTTGCCACTCCACGAGCATGCAATTTTAAAGGTGAGAGTGTTTTAACCACTTCATAGATGTATAATCTACAAGAGCATAACAGAGCAACCATAGCTGATCTCTCCACCTCGGCACAGCAGTATTCAGCTCACTGCTCTCCCTGTCCTCCAGCAGCACAAAGTTAGCCTGGTGACATCGATGGTCTCGCAGCCCCCACCCCTTTGACATGTATTATCCCAATCACCGGACTTTATTGGGAAGATATATCTTCACTTCTGTCCTATAGCCAAAACAGAACGTGAAAATCTCTTCAAAATAAGGGAATCCCTTGGTGCTCCTCTAGGTCACCAGAACTAGCATCCCCATTGCAAGATTTCCAGGGGACAGCCCAAAATGTGCTGGGACACAGCCATAAAAACCCTACAGGTCTTCTAATCCCTCTCATCTCTATCCAAGATGGGAAAGGAAAAGTTTTTTTCATTTTCAGGTGTACTCTACATCTTCCAAAACTAGCTGGCAGTGACCATGTTCAGTATTTTGTATATGGACACGTTTCTTATAATTGTTTAACTGTACATAATTTTTTTGTTTTAAAACCTTTCTGACCAGCTCTTATTCTTTATACCCTTAGCTATTGAAGTGGGTGCTGACCTACCTAGTGGCAGTATTATTGACCGATGGTTGGGAGAACCCATCAAGGCAGCCATTCTCCCCACTACCATTTTTCTAACCAACAAGAAAGGTTTTCCTGTTCTATCCAAAGTGCACCAGCGCCTTATTTTTAGATTATTTAAGGTAAGACTGTACACTATTTAGGAGAGTGAATATAAAGTTAGCTGTGCATGCACAGATTTTTTTTTTTTTTTTTTCAGCTCACAGGTGAAATAAGCAAAATCTAGATTCCTATATCCATGCTGAACCACATGGATGGAGAAATCTCCACTGATGCCTATTGTAGTTAGGCAGTAGGCACCTGCATCTGTCTGAATACCCAAACGGTGACTGCATCCGATTGAATGCAGTCTCTGTTTTGCTGACAGTTTTTCATCTGGCTCCTTCAATTTTTGCAGTTAGTAAAGCTGGGTGCTGCTGACAGGGCCACCTAAGGCTTGAATTTTGGCTGTTTGCCGAGATCGGCAAAAATTCATGTCATGTATGGAAAGCATAAGTATTTTTCTACTGCTTATACTGACCCTTTGTTTCTCTGCTTTACAGCTGGAGGTGCAGTTTGTGATTTCGGGCTCACATCATCACTCGGAGAAAGATTTTTGTTCATATTTACAGTATCTAGAGTATTTAAGTCAAAATCGACCACCTCCAAATGCTTACGAGATGTTTGCCAAAGGATATGAGGATTATTTGCAGTCCCCACTACAGGTAATTCATTTTTTTCATTAGGCCTCATGCACACTGCCAATTATTTAAACTCCCCTAGAAGCCAGCAGCATTTGGCCAAAAAAAAGCTTGACGCTTGTAAAAGTGTGTACCACATTTACACGTGTTTAACCACCTCCAAGCATTTGGGTGTTAATGTAATTGGCCTGAATAAATAAGTTAGGCACAAGTTCAAGCACATCAAACGTCTTTTCAGCCAAACCTTTGCTCCAGGATGCTCTGGCAGTGGGTTTTTTTTCTTCCACCAAACTCCTGCCACAAAATGCTGCTAAAATCCTATGTGTGCATAAACACAAGATAATATGCAGGGGAGTTTAGAGACCGGATGCCCTTAGGAGCAGTTGTAAAAATGTCCAGTGTGCATGATGCCTTTAAAAAAAATGCTGACCTCTCCTTCCAGAAATGCTAGTTATTAGTGTGTCATGCTAGTGTTTTTGGCTTCAGTACTTTGAGTCCCAAACCCAGAGCAAGGCTAGGGTCAGACTTTACTCTGAATTTTATTTGTGACATGCTTTTTCAGGTCTCGTGTTCTCAAAGTATTTACCCCTCCCATCGTGCCCTGGTTTCCCTTTAAAAAGGTCTGATCATGTGATCAACTTTCACAGTGGTCACATGATTGGGAACTGGTCCCACTGGCTACTGATCATTAGCGGGGACAGGAGCTGTCTTTTAACAGCTCTGTGAGTGTGAGTTCAGCACAGAAATACCGGCGACCCAGCAATTCATGTGTGGTGTATGGGCTTTGTAACCAATCCTTTTGCCTCCACGCGTTAGGCGATTTTGTAAAGGGGGTTAAAGCCAGAAAGCTGAGCATCTACCATTTTCAGAAGCTGGCCAGTAATGGCAGCCCACCTATGCCTTTTCAGAAAGTTGTACCCTTTAAGGGTAAGTTCACCTTTTTTGACAAAGAATAATAAATGCACATTTTTTTGGCAGTAAAAATATATGCATTTATCTTTTGGTTGCAGGAGCCTGTAAAGCATTGCGCCAGTGATCAGTTGAGCCCTGCACGGCCGTGCTGTCTTTAGAAAGTGACAGCTAGTACGGGGAGCTTCTCCCCGTACTTCTGTCACGAGGAGGGTGGGGGGGGGGGGGGGGGGGACAGTGGCTGCAGCATTGGGGACATGTTACAAGTTATACCCTAAAAATGGGTGGAACATGTAATCTGTTCCTAAAAGTGAACTTCTCCTTTAAAAAATTTTGTCATTTGATGGATAGACAATAAATGTACTTGTTTTTGTTTTGTTTTTTTCTATAGCCTTTGATGGATAATTTGGAATCTCAGACATATGAAGTATTTGAGAAAGATCCAGTGAAATACTCTCAGTATCAACAGGTATAGTTGCATATTAACATACATGAATTGCTTAGCTCAAGAACATTATTTGGTATGCTCTGTTTTGTAGCAATTGTACCTAGAGATATGGACGCGGATGTCCATGTTGCTAAAGATCCTCCATTTTGTATCATTCTCACTCCAAATCCGTTCTCCCTGTTGAATGGTGTGTGGCTGAGTTCAGGAGTGCATCGGCCACAGCTGGATACACTTCATGGTTGTAAACGCAATTAGCTGATTCCAGTGTGTCTGGCAGACTCTTGCTCTGAGCTGCTCGTAAAGCTATAAACCAGTCAGTCACTGGGCTTGAAAGCATTATGGAATAGCAGTAAAACCTTACATCCCATTTAAAACCACTTTTTCATACACTTTTATAATTTTCCGCAGGAAAAACGTACAATGAAACAAAACATATATTCAGACAGATCAGTTTGATGCGAGTCACCTGATACCTTACATCCCTAGATTACGTCTACCCGAGAGCAGAAAGCGATATCTCCTTAACCGTCCCAAGCGAGTATGTCATAATTGGTGTCTGGACGTTCAGAATATCATTCTGCATATTATCCTACAGTGGATAGGATGCTGCATGTACCTATGGAAGGTGATTGACCATGGTATAACTTGGGAGGTATTTTTGGTACTAGCCTGGGTCTCCGCCTACACCCTTTCCCCACATGAGGCGATTGGTCCTTGGCTTCAAAGACACCCCTGACCTTTTTTAGTAATCCTATTTTCTGAAAAGTGTTGAACTGTTTCTAAAGCTCTTAAATGCAAACTAAGAATCCCTGTCTCTTTAGAGTGCTACTGTGTGTTAAACTTCTGCATACATCTGTCTGCGGTGACAGTGTGTATAGAGACGCTTTTTCAAACATCATAGTGTTATTGGCAAGTTTCCTCCTTCGCTGTACAAAAAGGCGGTGGTGGCAGTGTGGAGGGTTAATTGTGTAATTAACCTGACCCAGTAACAATCGCTCTCAGGCTGCGGCACATATTGTGGTCCAGTGAGCTGGAAAATCTTTGTGCAGGGTGTGGCTGAGCGTTGCATTGTTATGCACGTGACAGCGCGGTTTTAGATTGGCTAGCCCTTCGGTCACGAGTTGGTGAGAAGGGCTAGGGGTCTGACGCGCTCGTCAGTGTTTACCCTCTATTTTCCTGGATGTAATGTTACACTCCTGAGGCTACAAAATGTGTTCAGGGAATATGTCCTGCTTGCTGAGGGCTTCTTTTTCAGCTACGCATAACTGCAGTAGACCAATAACCTAGATATTTTGCCATGTTGCCTGTATCCTGGTGTTTTTTTTCTTCTCCTATGTAAATGTGTGGTTGGGTATTCCCATCCCTACATGTGTAGTCAATGGAGGGCTTAGAAATCATGTTATGTGGATGTTATCACCTCACACGACCCCCTCCCTCAAAAAGACCCAGCTACAAAATTACTTTTAACCAGAGGGACTTTCTTGTATTCTAAGACACACATCGGGAGGGTCACAGTTTAGAGAGGTCTCTACTCTTTGTTCTATATCAATAGAATCGGTGGCATTTGTGCAGCCAACAAGTAACCCATACTATGGGGTACTTAGGTGGGTACATATGGCTACAGAAAAGAGAAGAAAATGCATAGTAGAATGGGTTGGTGGAAGGAGGAGGGAAGGTAACAAAAAAAAAAAAAAAAAAAAAGTTTTAGCCCGAATTGGAGCTTTAATGCGTAACATCTATGATTGACAGTTTGTTTTCTATTCAGGCTGTGTATAAGTGTTTGCTGGACAGAGTCCCAGAGGAAGAAAAGGATACTAACATACAGTAAGTGTGCTGTTGAGTGGTATGAATTTATCTGATTGTACTGCCTTTACAATCAGATCAGTCTTTATATTGTATGTTTTCGGTTTTGTGTGGTTTTTGTTTTTTTTCGTCTTTTCAGCCTGGTCCAGTTGTGTTATCCCTCTGCCTGCAGGGTAGAGGAGATGGCACTTGACAGTTGCTGGGAATATGTGGAAGAGGTGACGTCAGCCATAGGTTTCTGTGTCCAAAGCCATTGTCTCCCTCCTCTTCCCTGCAGCTGCCACTGGCTGACACAGGAACCACATCACGTGACCAGAGCAGGCTGAAAATCGGTAGATATATACATCTTTTCTTTTTGCACAGGTTAGTCAGCATAGGTATTTAGGAGGGGGACATTAAGACTAGTTGGTTTTAGGCTTGAATTACACTTTAATTTCACAAGTCTTGAGCTTTGGGTAAAGGAATATAACAAAAAAGTGTTATTTGCTTAAATTGACCAGAATGCCAGGGAATTTGTTTTTGTCATAAAGCCAATGTGAAAATAGTAATTCAGATGATCAGTCCAGCTGGTATCTTTTTACTCTGTGTTTTGGAAGGCAGTTAAATTCACTAAAAGCTGCTATAACATGTCATGGCTTTAGCTCTTAGCAGCCAGGAGTGTATGTGAACCCCCTCCTGCTGCAAACGATTACAAATCTAACAAACTGACTGTCAGATGGAAGCGATCAGGTGACTACTGCTGTACAGATTGCTTCCTAGCACCGCAGTTATGTTTAATGAGAACTTTAGTACTATTTGTGACAGGTTCTCTGACGTATCGCATGGGTGAGTTTTTTGTACCCTATGTGATAGTTTGTTGAGAAATAAAAAGTTAATCAAGCACTTAAACACCAGCAGCTTGGTCCAAGGTGTGATTTCAATAAATGAAAATAAATAAAATAACTCTTTAAAACAATATGGATTGTAAATTAGCACTTTTTTCATTTTCCATTAAAGCATAAAAACAACCCAAAACTAAATGTTTGTATAGAAGTTTTCGGGTTTTTTTTGTTTGCAAAAATGAAAGTTCATGTTACTATAATCTGTTAGGATAAAACACCTAAGGTGATATATGGGAATATACTCTTCATGTAAAGTCTGATATCCATGCAGAATGGTGAATATTTTAGTTCCCAGAGAGACATGACCCCTCTATTCTCACAAATTGTATATCTGATAAATCTGTTGGATTTTGGAAGTGTACATGTTTTGGAACCATAAGCACATCTAACAATATAGTCAGAATATACCTGACAAACTGTGCATGTAAAAATCTGAGTTAAATGTGAACTGTGAGATTAGTACAGGAGGGAAGGCAGTCCACCTTGACCTTTTTAATAGATTCCATCTTGGGTCTGCCCTGTGTTCTTGCACTTTAAAGTGGTTGTAAACCTCAGACATATCCACAAGTCCCATTTTCTGTCTTTCGTTCCTCTATCTGCATGAAATACTTCGGACAAGTTTTTGATACCAAGAGTAAAATGGTGACAGGGGAGAGAGCTCCAGCAGATTGACAGGCCTCAGCTCTGTTCCTGTGTGAAGGGGAGTGTGTCCTTTCCCTCCCAATCAGCTCTCAGAGCTCTGCACACCAAGCTCTGCAGAGTGCAGCTCTCTACCCCCTTGCCCTCCCCCCCCTTATCAATTCAGGACTTTGAATGGATGTAGAGAAGACTGACAGGTACAACTTATGTAGGAGGATTTGTTTCATCTGTGTATCACCTGAGGCCAATCACTTCACTGGGTATATGTGACAGTTTATAACCACTTTCAAAGTGCACCTAAATCCAAAAACAAAAATATTTCAGATTGCCAATCCTTAGATGCTGTGATTTGGATTAGTTTTCAGTTTTGCCTTTCTTTTATCTTCACCTGGTGATTATGCTTCTGTCTTTGTTAGAGCAAGGGAGATACACTTGGTCAGCAGTACTGTCTGAAGAGGGTAGTGTTAGGTGGACGCTGGACTTTTCCAGCTCACACTTGAAGCAATTACCCAGGTTTTTTTTTTTTTTTTTTTTTTTTTTTTTTTGAGAATTAAGGTTTTTATATAAATGAATTAAAGCTGAGCATTGTAATTACCCCTGTCAGTGTTAAATTGTTTGTCTCGCCCCTCTCACATCTACTTTTGTTGCACATCTTGATGTTAAAGGAAGGTGAAACATACCAGTAGGATCAGCAGGTAAACTACTTTTACAGGAGGACTTAGAGTGCTAATGACGGACTGCTTCATATATGCCATTTATGGTTTTGCTTTTAGTACCACCTAAATTCTGTTTTTGTTCCTAGGATTTTGATGGTTCTTGGAGCAGGCCGGGGACCTTTGGTAAATGCATCCCTGAGAGCTGCCAAGCAAGCAGAGCGCAAGATTAAAGTATATGCTGTGGAGAAGAATCCTAATGCAGTAATCACGTGGGTTTGAGAAACAAATATCTCTACTGATCACTAACCTCATGACACCCCTCCTAACATTTTACCTTTTCCGATGTTCTGTTTCACAGGTTGGAAGGGTGGCGCTATGAAGATTGGGGTAGTCAAGTGACTGTTGTGTCTAGTGACATGCGGGAGTGGAATCCTCCAGAGAAAGCGGATATCGTTGTCAGTGAACTTTTGGGGTCATTTGGAGACAACGAATTGTCCCCTGAGTGTCTGGATGGAGCCCAGCATTTCCTTAAAGGTGTTTTGTTTGTTACCTAAACTTTGTTTAAGGCCTGCTCCATTGGTTTTGCCATCTGCCAAATACGGATTCAAGTGAAACATACATCAACATGCATAGCCACACATTTTAATTGACTTACAGTTTACATCAGTGTGCATTATAATGCTCCCCATTGCACACACGTTATAGATTGTGATTAGTTGTTTTGATTTGTATCTATTAATTTCAATAGAAAATGCATGTTTTTGCCATGCGTGAGCATTTTCAGGTTCTTGAATATCAATTTCTATGATCTCCATTTTGTTTTATGACCTATTCTTGTTGCTTCACTCAGTCTTTCTTGTTTTAACAGAGGGTGGTGTTAGTATTCCAGGAGAATACACTTCTTACCTGGCTCCAATCTCTTCATCTAAACTTTACAATGAAGTGAGAGCATGCAGAGAAAAAGACAGAGACCCGGAGGTGAGTGAGAAATTAATGTCAGGTTTCTGTGATATAACAAATGAGATAAAGATGTATCGTTTCAGAACTTTTCCACCTTTTGATGTAAACTATAAACTGAAATCTTTTAGGTGGAGGGAACTAAAAATAAAATAAACTAAAATAATATGGTTGCATAAGTGTGCACACCCTTAAACTAATAGTTTGTTGAAACACCTTTTGATTTTATTCCAGCACTCAGTCTTTATGGGTATGAGTCTATCAGCAAGGCACATCTTGACTTGGCAATATTTGCCCACTCTTCCTTGCAAAAACACTCCAAATCTGTCATACTAATAAATATAAGGTGCAATACTGAAAATCTTAAATGACTTCTGCAAAAAAAAAATCCGTAGTGTTGTGCAAATATAATAAAGTGCGGAGAAGTATGTGTGCGTGTGTATGTAATGTATGTATATGTATGTATATGTATGTGTGTATGTATGTATGTAGATATATATATATATATATATGTGTGTGTGTGTATGTATGTGTGTGTGTGTGTGTGTGTGTGTGTATATATATATATATATATATATAGTGATAAAATATACATAAATTACAATAAAGTGACTGATTAAAGTGACATAAATGTGATCACATAAAATGGTGTCACAAAGTGACCTAAAAGTCAAAATAAAATGTCCAATGCAATAAGCCAAAATGATATAAATTGCACAAATGACAATATGCTGTCCATAAGGTGAAAAAAAGTGGAGATCTGGGTAATTGATCTCTAAATTCGGTGATCCACATGCTATATACAATGATTCGGCGATGTGCCGGGTAGGTAGTAAGATCACGCACTCACCAATTACGCGCCAATAGTTCGCTCAGCGCTGTACATTACAAAGGGGGATAGAACATGTGACAGAACAATAACAATACAGTGCAAAACATGAGGGGATCGAGGGCCCTGCTCTTTCCAGCTTACAATCTAGGAGGGAGGGGATGGTGGCACAGGAGGAGAAAGCTGTGGGGGGATGGAGTGGTAGGAAGAGTGGGGGAGGTCGGCAAGTTAGCAGGGGGTGGGATAGGCTTCCCTGGAGAGGTGGGTTTTCAGGGTGCGCCTAAAGAAGAGGAGAGTAGGTGATAATCTGATGGGTTGGGGCAGGGAGTTCCAGAGGATGGGTGACACCCTGGAGAAGTCCTGGAGGCGGGCATGGGAGGAGACCAGGGAACTAGAGAGAAGGAGGTCTTGTGAGGAGCAGAGTGTGCGTGCTGGGCGGTATTTGGATATTAGGTCAGTGATGTAGTTCGGGGCAGTATGGTGGACAGCTTTATACGGCAGTGTTAGAATTTTGAATTTGATCCGTTGCGCAATCGGAAGCCAGTGGAGGGATTGGCAGAGGGGGGTGGAGGAATCGGAGGAAATGATAGAATATATATATATCCATTAGTGGTCAGCCAGAAGTCCCCTTAAGGATGTCCACAGCCTGGTCTGGAATCCCTCCTTGGATCTTCTGCAGTACTTCTGCCGTCCGCCGCACTATGCTCCTTTTAGGAGGAGCTGTACGTTGTGACGTCACACCGCCGGAGCCTCGAGCAGGTCTGGCGGCCATCTTGAATAGAATAGATAGAGAGAGAGAGAGGCGTATCTGGTGAATCATTGTACACCATTTTATGTGATCACATTTGTCACTTTATCAGCACTTACAGTCACTTTATTATAATTTATGCATATTTTATATCATCACCATTATTATATATATTTGAGCTTATCTTTTATTTTATTATATTTGCACAACACTGGATTTTTATGTAGAAGTCATTTAAGACTTTCAGTGCTACACCTTATATTTATTAGTACGTCTTTGAGAAGGTTTATTTGGTTGCCTTTTTGGTGCTATAGCAGCAGCTTTGGTTATTTTAGCGCTCGCTTTCCTGACAGTCTTTACTCCAAATCTGTCAGATTGAGAGGGCAATTGCCCAGGAGTTCTCCTGACACCTTTTTAACAATGAGATCCATCTGATGCTTTGGAAACTCTCTGTGGACCATGGCTTTTGCTGTAGAATGCAACTAAGAAAATATCAAAGACCTGCTAGAACAGCTGAACTTTTATTTAGGGTTAATCAGAGGCACTTTAAATGATGGCAGGTGTGTACTGACTCCTATTTTAACATGATTTTGAATGTGAATATGTTTAATTCTGAATACAGCTACATCCCCAGTTATAAGAGGGTGTGCACACTTATGCAACCACATTATTTTAGTTTTTTATGTTTACACCCCCCAAAAGATTTCAGGTTTTTTTTTTTTTTTTTTTTCCCAATCAAGCTGTACAGCTTATAGGTCACGTTGAAGGTGGAAAAAGTTCTGAAATGATTTGTCTCAATTTGTACATCACAGAAACCTGACATTTTCATAGGGGTGTGTAAACTTTTCAAATCGTGTGTGTTGGTGTTTTTTTTTGTTTTTGTTTTTTTTTTTTGTTTTTTGGGAGTCCATTTGATGGAACAGTATCATCCATCATGTTTTTGCCTTGCCCTTGTGTTGCTTATTTTTCTCTTCTGCCAGTGCCCCGACTCTCCAGTAGGCAGCAATATAAGCTTTTTTTTTTTTTTTTTTATTCTAGTGTCCCTTTTATGGACTCCAAGAAAGAGATTTTAGGTCAAGAACAAAAATATCTTTCAGAGTGCTCCAGTCAGATCAGTCCACAACATTTATGGAGTCCTTTTACTTCTTTGTTGTGAATAGTATAACATTTGATCTGCTAGTTTCATGCACACTGCTAAAGTCCCAGGAGAAACGTATACCATCCCACCTCTCTGCCCTGAGGGTTCCCTATGTATTTTCAGTAAGAACATATAAGCAGCATGTGTTGTCTGCAAAGCCTTAATTTTTTACGTGCATTGAAAAATCTTGTGTGACTTTTTGTAAACCTTTAAAAAATCAAGTAATATATTCTATGGTTTGAAACTTGTACTTTGTTTAGACCTCATGCACACTAGACTTTATTACAGCTGCTGTGTTTTGGCTTTTAACTTTTTTTTTTCTACTGCCAGTAAGCTCCCAAGTATGTTAACCTATGTGTCCATGCAG